GCGCCGGCGGCTTTGTGACAGGACCGGGCAGGGCGGACACGAGTCCCCTGCACACTGACCCGGTCACCCGACTCCCTTACTATGGAGTCATCAGAGTTGCTCGTAACCCCCTGTCTCCTGAGACGGGAATTCAGTGCCGAGCGGGAGGGGACGGAAGGCAATGTGGGTCCCACCCGCGGGGACACGCCCCCCTTCGCTGCTGGGAGCGAGGGCCGGTCAGTGCTAACCAGTGACCTCTCACCAGCGGGCAGCGTGGGGTGGAAGCGCTTGAGAACCGAGCTGGATCGTCACGACCTCCCTGTGGTTGTCGCTCATGCATCCGATGGGCGCAGTGAGCAAGGTCCTGGTCAGATCTGACCTCCGGGGTGCAGCGGTCAGGCACGGCCGTCATCACATCCTCTCGGGCAGGACAGTCAGAGTCCCCAGGTCCTCAGTTCAGAGCCGCGGGCTCAGGGTCCTGAACCCAGGCGCACACGGGGTCAGGCCAGGTGTCACCCCCCCACCCCCCATGACCCACCTGCATTTCCTCTTCCTGTCAACTCGGCGTTCACGGAGCTCTCTCATAATATGCCAACCGCTCAGGACCCTCGGCGATGGGCACTTGGTACCAGAAATAACTTCGACATTTCGTGAAAACTCGCTGTATGTCCGGTGCTGCGATGATCCCAGCTGTGCTTTGGAGAGTTAGCAGGACAAATGGAGGGCCTGGGCTGGAAGACAGGGAAGTGGCGAGGACATCAGGAGGCCACTGCTCCGTGAGTCCGGGTGAAAGGCCTGCACTACGAGGGAGTAAAAATACAGGAACGGATTTGGGACAGAGATAAAACCGTGCAGAACCCAGAAACGAATCAAATGTGTGCGCACAAAATGAACGATAGCTTTCCGCGGTGGTTAACCAAGTGACTGGCTTCCAGTTAAGAGACCGAGAAAAGCAGGAGGAACTGCCAAGTTAGGGGCACCCCTGGGTGGGAGGCCTGGAGAGGGAGCACTGCACAACAGCTGGTTGCGGTGTCGTGTCTGAAACTCCTTTGAGGAGCCACCGAGTCTGCCTCCGTTTCCCAGCTGCAGTTTCACCAGCAGGCAGTCCATCTGCTAGAGAGCTTGGCCGGCTTCTTCAGGAACCACTTCCTCTTTGGCTTCCCCTTCCCTTTGCTCTGGGACTATCTGGACTTCTGCAGTTGTGCAGGCCTTCTGCATAGCTGATTCTATCACGTGCCATAGACTGAAGCAAACAGAAGGGCTGGGATGATTAAAACCCTGAAATTCAAGTGGATACTAAACGAGCTTCTTCTTGATTCCCTGTAGGGTTCAAGGATACGCCTCGTGTGAGAGGAATCAATGAATATGGCAAATTCAGAAACATTTTCCTGGTGAGACTCTCGTACCTGTGTCTTCAGAGAAACAGTGGAGCCAGTTGGCAAACACAAGGCCAACAGGTTGAAGACTCGGGACCCACAGCTGATCTCTCTGTCTGCTCCCCCAAATGTAGGAGGGCAGTGCTGGTTTGCCACAAATTTTCTTAAGGCATTTGAGACAGATTATTTTTAATATTTTCTTAAAAATATACAAAGGAAATGAACTCTTTAGGTCAATTCAATTCAGGGAGAGGAGAAAATGGAATTTCAATGTAAAGGGAAAGGGTTTTCGTTTAGGTCATCACATTCCCACACTCCCAATACCATAAAGCAAGAATTTCACTCTGTAGCACAGGAGAGCCTAGAATGGTGGCTCAGAAATGCTGAGAGCAGGTACTGGATAACACAGGACTTTGGGTTGTCCTTTGATTCTTCTGTCCTGGGATGAACATAATTCACTCTAAGGACAGGTTGGGAACCCAACAGTAGGACAAGGACGAAATGTACCAAACAGCAGTAAAAACCACCCCTTAGCAGAAGTGTGCGCTTAAAAGGACGGGCAATACCAAGTAGCTGAACTTTCAGGCTGCTGTACCCCCACCCCTTCCCCCAATAAATAGTATGGAAATGTTACAGCATAGTAGCATCTGATTCCACAAAGCCCTCTCCCCGAGGCAAACCTGGCTGCGGGGGACGAGCCCTGGGAGGAGTGTGACAAATACAAACTCACAGGTACTTCTCTGTCCCCCACTGACTCCACTCGGCGCACCGACACTTGTTCACCGTGCTTGTCTCGCACAGGCACCAGGGCCAGGCAAGCCACACTGCAGACCAGAAAGACCGGGGACATCAGAAGACCCTTCCAATATCCACCCTGTCTTCCAGGCCTCACGTCTGTGGAGGTCTAGGCTCACTCACACGAGCGAGTTCAGGTCACGTCACTCAGCCCAGTTCGGATACAGCAGCTCTGCCCCCGGGAGTGTCACACAGGTGTCTCCCAAGCCCCACAGCTGTGACGGGGCGCTTCCCTGGGTTCCCCTCCAGAACAGAGCTGTGCTGCAGCTACCTGCAGACCAGGAAAGATACTTATTCCTGGAAAACAGGACTTGCACTTTATCAGGCTGACTCAGGTTGGAATCCTTCCAATCCAGACGTCGGCTGGACACTGCCCACCTCTAGTAGGCCACCCTCACCTTCGTTCTCTGCAACACACGGGCGCAACGTATGCATGTCCTCCCAAGCACGTGGTGAGTCAGACACGACCAGAGAGTGCTGCCCAGACAGGAGGTGGCCTGGCCTCACACCTCCACTCAGTGCATTCTTTTCCCGTGAGTGTCCGTTCACCACTCTACTCAGGGACAATTCCCAGCGCGAGGGGGAGTGTGTGCAAATAAAGACCATCATCATGGCACCGGTGCTTGTAATCGCCCTGAGCACACAGCGAGCAGCAGACATTCTGGGCACGATCCTTGATTCTCCTGCTATCTGGCCCCTGGACTGGTCACTAGCTCTGGATGGAGCTCCAACAGGTCACTTCTCTCGGAGCACACACACGCCAGCATCACAGCGCTGGGTTCCCATGGAGGTCACCACTTCCCAGCTGTCGATGACAGGGTCATAGCACTCGATGCTGCTCAGCAGGGAGTTCCCATCATATCTGAGTGGGGAAGAAGCCAAAGAGGGAAATGAGCTTTCTGTTCCTCTCCACCCACATCCCACATTGAGGTCGCCATGGAGACATCTCCCCTGACCCACACCCTGTCTCCACCCAACAGTGTGGATCGGATCATGTTGCCCTGATGCATGATGGCCCCAGCCTGGTTTTAAATCCTCACCCTGCAATTGCATAAAGCCGACCCCGAAGCACCGTGGCCCCCACATAGCATCGAGGGGTGGTCATGCAGGTGACAGCCGTCCAGGAATCGGTACGGATGTTGTACGCTTCAACGGAGGAAAGGTGGGCTGTGCCATCAAATCCCCCCACCACATAAATATGGTCATTCAGCAGGGCTACTCCTGCACCTGGAAAGAAGGAGAGCAGGTTACTACTACTGAACCGAGGCTGGATTCTAGAAAGAAAACATGGTCGCTGACGGCCAGCTGAGTCCTCAGGTAGCTCAGGGATGGGCACAGAGCCAGACAGGCCTGAATGAAATAATCAGCCAGCACAGGTTATCCCGTCTGTAAACCCACTGGTGGGAGTTGTATGAGAAGAAAAGCACACAAAATGGTTCTCACCTTCACTTTCATTAATTCAGAACCCAACTCTCTGTTAACAGAAAAGAAAGAAATGGGAAAAGAAGGCAATGAAAGAGAAGGAAGGAGAGGAGCTGTGACTGGTTCTGGAGCAGTTTGTACAGAGAAAGTGAACACAACAGCACAGCGTTCTCCTGCCTCAGAGCCCAGCACTCCCCCACGTAACACGCTAAACACATACGACTGTACCAGACGTGACAATGCTGGGATTTAAAAAATGAGTAAAACAAGAGGCTTCTGTCCTCAAGTGTATACTCCATCTGAAAAGCTGTCTTCATTCTCAGGACACGGAGATCAGAGGCGAGGAGGAAGGTGAAATCTGAAGCCGAGCAAAGAGGAACTACAACCCCGACTGACGGGCTGTCCTGTGACTGCGCGCCCCCCCCCCCCCCCCCCCCCCCCCCCCCC